TTTTAAGATGTTCTCTGCCTTTGTTGTTGTTTTCTTTGGGGTTTTTGGGGGTTTTGTAGTTTCCCTCTAATGAACCCAGGTATTAATTTTCTTTCTCCTCACAGTCCTTGCAGCCCAGGACCCCTCACTGCTTACCACCCACCTGCTCGCTGCTCCTTACCACTCGGCTCTCTGCTCCTTAGTGCTGCTGCAGAGAAGCTCCCGTCACCGCAGCTGCTCTCGCCAGCTGTGAGCCTGGCTTCTGGCTTAATGGCGCTCCCACTGTGGGAGCGCACTGACCACCAGGGGGCAGCTCCTGCGTTGAGCATCTACCCCCTGGTGGTCAGTGCATATCATAGCAATTGGTCATTCCGGTTATTCCACCGTAACGGTGGCTTGGGCTTTTATTATATACACTAGAGGCCAGGTGCACAAAAATTTGTGCACTCAGGGGGGATGAGGGGTCCCTCAGCCCAGCCTGTGCCCTCTCGCAGTCTGGGACCCCTCAGGAGATAACGACCTGCTGGCTTAGGCCTGCTCCCAGGTGGCAGAGGGCAGTCCCAATCCCTAGGTGCAGCCCCTGGTCGGGCTCAGAGCAGGGCTGACTAGGGAGTTGGGGCACCACCCCCTGTCATGCACAGAGCACGGCGGATTGGGAGGTTGTGATGCCACCCTCAATCACGCTCAGGGTAGGGCTGACTGGGGGGTTGGGGCACCGCCCCGTCACACTCAAGGCAGGGTCGATGGGCAGGTTGCGGCGCCACCCCCTGTCACGCACAGAGCAGGGCCAATCAGGGGGTTGGGGCACTGCCCCCTGTCACGCACAGAGCAGGGCCAATCAGGGGGTTGGGGTGCTGCCCCCTGTCACTCACAGAGCAGGGCCCATCAGGGGGTTGGGGAGCTCCCCCCTGTCACTCACAGAGTAGGGCCGATAGGAGAATTGGGGCACTGCCCCCTGTCACACACAGAGCAGGACGGATCAGGGGGTTGGGGCACCGCACCCTGTCACACTCAGGGCAGGGCCGATGGGGAGGTTATGGCTCTACCCCGACACACACAGAGCAGGGCCTGTGGGGGGCGGTTGGGGCGCCGCCCTCTATCACCCACAGAACAGGGCCTATCAGGGGGTTGGGGCGCCACCCTCTATCACCCACAGAGCAGGGCCGATCAGGGGGTTGGGGCACCGCCACTGTCACACTCAGGGCAGGGCCGATCGGGGGTTGGGGAGCTCCCCCCTGTCATGCTGATCCCAGTGCTGGGAGGCTTCTCGGCTCCGCTGATCCCGGTGCTGGGAGGCATATTACCCTTTTACTATATAGGATAGAGGCCTGGTGCACGGGTGGGGGCCAGCTGGTTTGCCCTGAAGGGTATCCTGGATCAGGGTAGGGGTCCCCACTGGGGTGCCTGGCCAGCCTGGATGAGGGGATGATAGCTGTTTGCTATCACACACCCTTCAGGATGGGGGTCCCCACTGGGGTGCCTGGCCAGTCTGGGTGAGGGGCTGAGGGCTGTTTTCAGGCGAGCGGGTGAATGAAGCTCCCAACCGCTCCTTTCTTTCTTTTTTTTCTTTTTTTATTCTGGGCCAGCTTTAGCTCTGAGGCTTGGCTCCAGCTCTTAGGCCTCCACTACTGAAATCAGGTATCTGGTTTGTTTGGGTTCTATAATCGAAACACTGTTTCAACTCCAGCTCTGAGATCCCGGCTGGCTGAAAGCAGGTTTCTGGGGTTTTGTTTAGCTTCTATATTTGTAACAATGTTTCAAATGCAAGCTCAGAGGCCGGCAGCAGCAGGCGGGGAACGTTGGAGTCCTCCGTCACTGAAGCAAGCAAGCCAGATATTCACTTCAAGCTGCCTGGCTGCCGGCCGCCATCTTGGCTGGCAGTTAATTTGCATATCTTGCTGATTAGCCAATGGGAAGGGTAGCGGAGGTACGGCTAATTACCATGCTTCTCTTTTATTAGATAGGATAACCAAGACATGGAAACCACTAAGTGTCCATAATGGATGAAGGATAAAGAAAATGTAATACATACACACACAAATGGAATATTATTCAGCCATAAAAAGAATGAAATCTTGCCGTTTGTGACAACACAGATGGACCTTGAGGGCCTTATGCCAAGTGAAAATAAGTCAGACAGAGAAAGACAAATACTGTGTGATCTCATATGTAGAATCTTAAAAAAGAAAAAAAAGGAAAGGAAAAAAGAGCTCACAGGTACAGAGACAAATTGGTGATTGCCACAATAAAATGGGTGAAGGGGGTCAAAAGGTACAAACTTCCAGTTATAAAATAAATAAGTCATGGGGATGTAATGTACAGCATGATGACTACGGTTAAAAATACTATGTTGCATATTTAAAGTTGCTAAGAAAGTAGAGCCTAAAAGTCCCCATCATAAGAAAAAAAAAGTGTCACTATGTCTGGGGACAGATGTTAGCTAGACTTACTGTGTGGTCATTTCACAATACATACAAATATAAAACTAAAATAATATTATGACATGTTATGTCAAATATACCTCAAAAATTAAAATTAAAAATAAATAACTACCACTTCTCTGGACCCACTGCAGACATCAGACCGGGCGGCCATCTCCATTGGAGCATGCCCTCCAGGGAATTCTGACCATGCTCACATTTAAGAAGCACTGTCCTGGCTGACTTTCCCATTTGAGTTAAAAGATTTCTTTTCACTCTGAAGTAGCTAAGGAGTCAAGAACAGGGATTGCAAAATTTTTCCATTAAAGGCGACACGGTGAACATCTTGGGCCAAGAGGCAAAATCAAGGTATGTAGGTAATCCTTTAAAATGCAACCGTTTAAAAATGCAAAAATCATTCCTGGCCAGAGGGCTGTACATAAACAGGCAGCAGGCCACATTTGTTGACCCCCCGGGTCAAGAGTTTTGGGTCAGGCAGACTTATAAAAAAGAAAAGAAGAAAATACACCTACTTCTAAATGCAGGGGGAAAAAAATTCACATTCAGTAGAAAAGGCATGGACTCCCATGCCTCACTGTACAGCATTTCTCAGTGAAAGATAAATAGATCCCCCAAAGAAAGACATGACCCAGTAGCACAAACAATGGAGTCATGATCATCACCCTTGGACAGCACTTTAGAACTTTCCTATCAATGTTTTCATTCAGAGAACCAAAAAGCCATGAATGTCTGCTCTTGAAGGCCAGACCTAAGGTGAGTGGAAAACATTAACCATGTGCACACGGAAGGAGAGACTCGGTGACTGTCCTGGCTATAGTAACTGGCTTATGCTGAAGCAGATATTTTAAGATCTCGGTGTGAATGTGATTGATGCCTGGGATAAAACCACTGCATGTGGCACTAAGAATATCCGCCTTCCAGATCATGTGATTGGAAATCCGATTGAAATGTTTTTAACTTGCTTTTGCTAAATTACAAATACAGAAAAATCACCAGGAGCCACTCTCCATAGATATGTCTATGAGAAAACTCCCCCAGTTTTCCTCCCATCTCCCTAGCCATTTCTTTTCAATTTTTACTGCTGGCTCCTATTCATACCAAAATGTAGTCTGACACAGTCCATGTTTTGTTCCAGACCTTCTCTCCTCATCTCTGACCTTCCTCTGGGTGATCTCAGCCACTCCCTTTCAATTACTATCAGCTGACCACTCGCAAATGCACATCGCCAGTACAGACCAGTCCCGGAGCTCCTGAGCTCCCAACTGCTGTATCTAACTGCATACCAGCCATCTCCACAGGCTCTGTGTCCTACCCCTCAATGTCAATGTGCTTGTCACTAAAATTTGAAACTTGGGAGGCAGCCTTGATACCTCCCTCTCCTTCAGCATCCCCTTTCACATTTAAATGATCAAAAAACTCACTCAGTGGCTAGATAGAGCATCAGCCTGCAAAATAAAGTGTCCTGAGTTCTATTCCAGTCAAGGGCACATGCCTGGGTTGCGGGTTCAATCCCCCGTAGGGGGTGTGCAGGAGGCAACCAATCAATGATTCTCTCTCATCATTGATGTTTCTATCTCTCTCCCTCTCTGAAATCAATAAAAATATATATTTTTTAAAAATCACAAAACCCTATTCTATCTCCTAAATATCCCAAAACTGTCCACTTCTCAAGCTACCAAGAATTCCTTCTTTAATTACTGCAATAGCCATCCAACTGCCCTATGACAATTACTGTCCCCTCCCTCCACCAATCCATTCAAATCCAATTATTTCAATCTCTGCCTTTATAAATCCTTCAAAGGCTATAAAACCCAGAATGTCTTGAAGGGAAGTGTTGAAACTAACTATACCAGGGTTCTACAGAGGAGCTTGTTAAAATATTGGCTCTTGAGTTGCCCCAAAACCAGAGAATCTAAACCTCTAGGGATAGGCCCAGACACTGAAAATTTAATCCCAAATCCTTACTATGGCTTAGAGGTCCTATATCATCTGGCCTCTGGCAGCCCCAGCCAAGGGTGGGGCCCTTTCTTCACCATGCTGTGCCCCGGCACCTGTACTTCCCTGGGAGCAGCACTCACGGCATTGGTCACTGTGATATATGTCTGACTCCCGTCCCGAGGGTAAGCTCCGGGGCGAAGGCTCATGCCTGTTGTGTTCACCAATTATTCCTAGAGCCCAGCACAGTGGGCACAACAACAGTATTATTTAATTCATTGCCATTCAGAATCCAAGAGAATTTAAGGCAAAGGACTTTCTCCACGGTAAAGTTGGCTAAACATGCCTGAAAACATCCTCATTTGTTGAAATAGTGTATAGACCAAGAAGAAAAAAGGGCTCAGGTAACAATGACTGGAGAAATTAATGAGTGGCCTTGAGGAGAAAGTTTAATCTTCAAAATCAAAGTGCTTTTTTGAAGGTTGATAACAAGCTCTTTTCCTATCTCCAGTGAGATCAAATGAACAGAAATGAGCTTGGCACTACATTCAGCAAGTTTTTGATCATAATGAAACCAAAATGTGGGGTTTGAGTCTGAGTTTGCTGTCTTGTGAAATCGAAGATTGAAGTCGCAGACAAAAACAGTTAGCAGAACCAAAGTTTATTGAGAAGCCAGTCCTGGAAAAGGTGCAGCAGGGTTCAGGCCAGTGTCACGGCTTCTGTTCCATGTTGTAGCGGGGTGTCCTTCAGCATCCAGGCGATTAAAGCCTGTTAATCCATAGAGCAGGAACCTAGTGAGCAAGGGAGAGAGAAGAGAAGAGAGAGAGGAAGCACTGGCTTTCTAATCTAGGGGGTAGATACAGCCTTGCGAGCTCTTGATTGGTCCTTTCAAATAATTTTGCCTTAGCAACACCTTTGGGATTGGTTTATACCTGATTGCCTTGTGATTGGCTATCTGCAAGCTACCTGTTTTAGCAACAATCCATATATTTTAAAGTTTGTCTCTCTTCTTTCCCCTCGTCCCTCCCCCGCCCCCCCCCCCCCCGCCCCCCGTTTCCTTCTCCCCCTTCCCTCCCATGGTCCCTGTCCCTGTCTACCTAGCTTCCTTTTGTGTACTCAATAAATACTGTAAGGGTAAATACAAACCTTAAAAAATAAAGTTGAATTTTCTTGGGTGTGTAAAAAAGGAAAGAGATCCCCATCACACATACCTTCTCTTAGAGCATTTCCTTTAGAAAACTTATGAATTCTTTGTTTTTCCTTAAATGTATGTAAATATTTTTAAAAGCTAAACAAGCCTGCTATCAGTTTAACAACCCAGGAGCCATCTCTAAATGTAAACATCAGGAAGATAGCGCTGTGAGAGCTTAAAGTGGGCATCTGGCTCCAGTCCGCCTGTCTTGGGTATTTGAAATTTTCATGCTTCTTCTACATCATTGCTACGAGCAAACACAGGTGGCCACCACATTTCCAAGTGAGTTTAGGGTGAACTATGTGTGAGACATGGTGCCTGCCACCAGGTCCTCTTTTCCTGAGAAAGTTATTTTTGTCCTGGCAACATGGATTGACAGGCTGTATCTGCCTGGTTATACCGAAGGGTGAGATGTCTTTACATTCTTTGGCTGACTCCCTGTGATGCACATCACATTTTGGTTAAATGCTTATTCAATAATAAAACTGTCTTCTATGTTTATGGAGAGGTTTTCTGTGTAAAGAGATTTTGCTTTCAATTTTATTTCTCCACTGTTAGGGTTTGGCCAATGATGCGGGCTGTGAAAGAATTCACAACTAAAAGAGGAGATGCAGAGAGGAGTTTATTTCACTTTCTAAGAGAGGAAAGGGCTGGTGTATCGTTAGTCAGTGCAGGGCAGGAACAGAAAGCAGCTTCCACTTTTGAGGGTAGTGGCTGCTGTTGCTAGGTGACATGGAAGTGCCTGGTTCTTGTCCCAGCATCTAGAAGGGTTCAGGAATCTGGAGAAGGCTGTGCGTAGACGTTAAATAGGAATCCAGAGACTAATAAAGAGTCCGGAGACGAGATATAATTTGAAAGGCATTTGGGGGTCAGAGGAGCTTAGCTAAAGGAGCTAAGTTCTAAGGTCTTAAGTCTAAGGTCTTATCAGTGATGGCGAACCTATGACAGGCGTGTCAGAGGTGACACGTGAACTCATTTTTTTGGTTGATTTTTCTTTGTTAAATGACATTTAAATATAAAAAATAAATATCAAAAATATAAATCTTTGTTTTACTATGGTTGCAAATATCAAAAATTTCCTATATGTGACACAGCACCAGAGTTAAGTTAGGGTTTTTCAAAATGCTGACACGCCGACTCAAAAGGTTCGCCATCACTGTCTTAGGTTGTCTCCTCGTCCCCAGGACCCCATGCTTGTTATTAACACAACTTGTCCTGAGGCTAGGCAGAGATACACACTTCAAAGGGCCAGGGTTTGGTACAGAGTCCATTGTCAGAATGGGGGAATAGCCTACGGCTGTTCAGGTGTTTGGCCAGTAGGAGGCAATAACATGTAGATTAAGATGCCCTTTAACTGTCTAGCAGCCAAGAAATCAATTTAATGTATACTATTCAGGTTTGGGGAAATGCCTTTAGGCATTCCCAGATGCAGCCCTGCTGTCATGCTGGAATTGGTCTCAGGCATGGAAGGGAGGAGGATTTGGGGCTGAAGTTGAGCAGATACCAGGGGCTGTCTTGAAAAATCACAGTTTGTTTGCTTTCCAGGAGACAGCTGGGCAGATGTCTTAGGGAGGTGTCTTGTCAGTATCTCCCCCAAGCCTGTAAAACATGCTCAGAGCAAAAGTAATGAAGAGTCCAAAAGAGGCTTGTTTGAAGGGGAGGGGAGAAGAGAACTTTCTACTAATTATCCCAGAGTTCTGAAAACAGCAGGGAGGAGGGGCATGCAAGAACGTGGCCATTAGAGTAACCTGTCTTGCAGTTTGAACAGAGGGGCTGCTTGAATCAGAGGCGCTAACAATCTTGGGGTTTAATTACCAGGTGCTCCTCATAAGTCATGCAAAGCCACAGCAAAGAAAAAGAAAGGCCTTTTTCCTGTCCTTACATCCACCAGGACCAATCCCCAGCCAGAATGACTACATGAAAGGTGGTGGATAACTATCCAACAGCTGTTTACCAGTGGTGAAAGCGGGGTGCAGCAGCTGGAGCACTGCAGCTGGGCCTTGCTCTGGGGAGCCTGCGCCGCTGAGCAGGGGGAGAGTACGCTGCCCTGAATAACGATCCATCCACTTTTGGGTCACTTCTTTTGCCCCCTGCACTCCTGTCTCCACTGACTCCTACCTCCTGGTCTCAGCATGTCTTTAAACCAGCGGTTCTCAACCAGTGGGTCGCGACCCCTTTGGGGGTCGAACAACCCTTTCACAGGGGTCGCCTGAGACCATCAGAAAACACATATATAATTATATATTGTTTGTGTGATTAATCACTATGCTTTAATTATGTTCAATTTGTAACAATGAAATTGGGGGTCGCCACAACATGAGGAACTGTATTACAGGGTCGCGGCATTAGGAAGGTTGAGAACCGCTGCTTTAAACGCTCTGGCATGTGAGCACTGGAAAGCTCAGGCAGGATACACGCAGACCCAGACCCACAGAGGAGCATAAATGAAGCCCAAGGAACTCGGTGAAGGCAGATTTATAAACATAAAGAGGAAAGTTGTTGAGATGAAAAGGATGAGATGGCCCTAGCTGGTTTGGCTCAGTGGATAGAGCTTCAGCCTGTGGACTAAAGGGACCCGGGTTCCGTTCCAGTCAAGGATACATTTCTCGATCCCTGGCTCCAGTTGGGGCAGGAGGCAACCAAACAATGTGCCTCTCTCACATCAATGTTTCTGTCTCACTGTCTCTCCCAGTCCCTTCCACTCTCTCTAAAAATTAATGGAAAAATATCCTCGGGTGAGGATTAACATTAAAAATAAATTGTTTTGTGGTTTGTTTGTTTTAATTTATTTGTATTGATTTTAGAGAGTAAGGGAGAGGGAGAGAGGGATAGAAACATCAATGAGAGAGAGTCATTAATTGGCTGCCTCCTGCACACCCCGCACTGGGGATGGAGCCCACAACCTGGGCATGTGCCCTTGACCAGAATTGAACCTGGGACCCTTCAGTCCCCAGGCCGATGCTCAGTCCACTGAGCCACACTGGCTAGGGCTGTGGTTTGTTGTTTTTTTTAATGCCCAGCCAGCATGGCTGAGTGGTTGAGCGTCGACCTATGAACCAGGAGGTCTCGGTTCGATTCCAGGTCAGGGAATATGCCTGGGTCGTGGGCTCGATCCCCAGTGTGGGGTGTGCAGGTGTGAGTGATTCTCTCTCATCATGGATGTTTCTATCTCTCTCTCCCTCTCCCTTCCTCTCTGAAATCAATAAAAATATTTAGAAAGAGAGAGAGAGAGAGAGAGAGAGAGAGAGAGAGAGAGAGAGAAAGAAAGAAAGAAAGAAAGAAAGAAAGAAAGAAAGAAAGAAAGAAAGAAAGAAAGAAAGAAAGAAAGAAAGAAAGAAAGAAAGAAAGAAAGAAAGAGATGGATGAGATGTACCAGAGGGAATGACACCAGCAGAAGTTTCATGTTAGGTGAACTCCCGGAGATACTGCACAGCATGGAAAGAGGAAAGGATACAAGGTTGGAGACTGATCCAAACACAGAAAGGAGTGTGGCAAACACTGAAAGGACGCTCTGTATTGTAAGTTGTGTCACGAGAAGGCAAGCGCTGTCCAAACTAGCCTTCGTGAGTTTTTTTATAATGAAATAAAGTAATTTACAAGTTTCTGATGTTTTAAATTACAGTGCACAGGAGATGAATCAGTTTTACTATTTTCTTCACTTTCCAATTCATTAATAACCAGCATTAGGAGCTAGTTAAAATGTAGAATGTTTTGACAAAAATTTTTAAAAGTCACATAACACTCAGAATCTTTCCCATATGGTTTTAGCTGGCATGGTCTTGTTCTATCATGCAAAGCAAGGACTATCTATATTTCTTATTCCTCATTAAACAAGTTAATAGACGTGCCTAAAAGAGTGTTTGTCACACAGTAAGTGCTCAGTAAATGTCACCTATTAATTAAAAGACAATACATTACTGTTTTTCACCTTTAGTACAAAACTCTTCCTTTTAATGTCCATACTTGCTTCCTCAACATCTCTCCTTCCTCTCCTTCCATTCTCTCTTAAAACCATTCTAATGAGGCTTTTGTCCAAAATTGTTCTCCTCAAAGTAATCTCACAGAACTAGAACAAATAATCCAAAAATTTATATGGAACAACACACACACACGAAAGGATAGCCTTGGCAATATTGAGAAAAAGAACAAAGTTGGAGGAATCATGCTACCTGATATCAGACTATACTACAAGGCCCTCGTAATCAAAACAGCATGGTACTGGCATAAAAACAGACATATAGATCAATGGAATAGACTAGAGAGCCCAGAAATAAACCCATGCCTTTATAGTCAATTAATATTTGACAAGGAAAGCAAAAACATACAATGGGGTAAAAACAATCTATTCAAAAATGGTGTTGGGAAAATTGGACAGGTACATGCAAAAAAAAAATGAAATTAGACCACCTCTTACATCATATACAAGAATAAACTCAAAATGAATTAAAGACTTAAATGTAAGACTCAATATAATAAAACTCCTAAAAGAAAACAAGGCAGTAAAATCTTGGACATTTTTCTTAGCAATATTTTTCTGATATATCCTTTGGACAAGAGAAACAGAAAAATAAAATAAACAAATGGGACTACATAAAACTA